GTCCCCACAGCCCACAGCTCAGTTCCCTGTGCATGCCAGAGGGATCTAGGTGGATCCAGTCCCAGTTATCCTGGGACAGGCTGGCAGGGGAAGCATGACCCAACACGCAGCTGGGCAGCCAGCACCATGCAAACCTGTTCTGGCAGGGTGTGCGGCACACCTGGGGATGTCATCTCAGATGGGAGCCCAAGGACCATGCCCCACGATGCTGACCTAAAACATTGAAAACATGTGGGTTTTATGCTCGGGACATGGCTGTGGAACACAGCCCTCTGGATCTGATCACCCCCTTCCCATGTGTCCAGCAGTTAGAAATGTGAAAGTTCTTGTTTGCAGTCCTCGGGGATTTTCCAGGGAAACGAAAGTGTGATGTACAGAGACATGCACGGAGGTGGTGCACATGTGTGTGGGGCCAAGAGTCCACGGTCTGCCACTGCAGGCTGGAGGCTCAGAGAGCTGGCTGTGTGGTTTGGTTTAGCCCGGAGGCCTGGGAACCGGCAGCAATGGGGAGAGTCTGAGTTGGGGCCACCAGTTTGGCATCAGGAGTGCCTGAGGGCAGGAGGAGGAAGTGGTCCCAGCTCAGGAGGGCAGAGAGGCCCTTTTCCGCCTTCCTGCTCCGGGGCATGGGTGTGTTGGAGGATGCCGTACTGTGAGCCCGGGTGCTCCTCAGTCAGTGCCCCAATCAGTTATTCTCTTCTAGAAACGCCCTCACAGAAACACCCAGAAATAAAGTCTCACCCACCAACTGGCCATGGCTGGGCTCCATCATGCTGACATGTAGAATCGACCATCAGCACACCACCTCCCTCTTCCTTCCATCTGTCCTGGCATCCTTGCCCCTGAGCACTCCCAGCCACCCAGCCCTCTGGGAAGCCTCCAGTGCCATGTCCACCTTGTCTTCCAACCCAAACACACTGAACACCACACCGGGGCAGCGCGGCCAGCACAGGGGACTGAGGAGGAGCGCCTGTCCTGGCAGGCCCGCCTTCCTGGACAGGAAGCCCAGTCTTCTAGGGCTCCTTCACATGCACACAGTGAAGCCCCTGGATCCCAAGGTCTTACGGCTCGGTTATTTCAGCAGGTGACCACACCCCTCCCACCTCCCGCACAGTGGAGACTCAGGGTCTCCTCACTCCTAAGGTTCCCTGGGGCCTCAGCCCCACTGGGCAACCAAAGTTGACAGTTCTTCCTATTACAACATTTACAACAAACAGAATCATATGGTGTTTGTTTCTTTTTTCCAGCGTAATATTCCACTGCGTGAGCACAATACCGTGTGTCCACTCATCCACCTACGTGGACACCTGAGCCACTTCCAGATTTTGACTATTATGAATAAAACCACTAAGTACATTCTCACACATGGCTTTCTGTGACACGTATTTTTATTTCTCTTAGATAAAAACCCGAGTGGAATTCTGGGTCGTAAGTTAGGTAGGTGTAGGTTTGCCTTCTGGAGAAATTCCCAAATAGTTTCTCAAAATGGCTGCCCCTCTCTTGTGCTGCCACAGGCAGTGTGTGAGCGTCCAGTCCCACCACATTCCGTGGCACGTGGTTTTGTCAGGATTTTTGATTTCAGTCTTTGAGTGTAAAGTGAGGTTGCCATGTGGTTAAGTTTTGACTCCTTGAAGACTGGTGATTTTGAGCATGTTTTCATATGCTTATTGGCTTCGTGTGTTTCATTTGTGAAATATCTATTCGAGTGTTCGCCTCTTTGTTGTTGGTGTGTAGGAGTTCTTCCTGTCCACTGGCCCCCAAGCCTCTGTCACACGTACAGTCTTCCCCTCTAGCTCCTCTCTTCCGTGCTGATTTAATGTATCGCTCCAGTAATCACAATATGCATGTTTCACCTGGTAAGGTCTATTTTGAACTTACATTACACCGAGTGGTATAACCTTACTGTATCTCTGCCCTCCCTTCATGCTATTGGCTGCAAATGTAAAATCATACTTAGGTCATAGGTGCCACAATTTTTGCTTTATTGGCCAGTTGTTGGCACACCCACATACTTACATCCCTAGGGTCCTTCTTCATTTTTTTCTACAGATCCTAATTTCCATCTGGGATGATTTTCCTCTAACTACAATAACTTCTTTCGGTATTCCTTATAAAGCAGGTCTGGTGGCAATTAATTATATCACTTTTATCTGAAAGTGACTTTCTATAAACTTCATTTTTGAAGGATATTTTCACTGGTTATAGAATTGTAGGTTCACTTTTTTTTCTTTTAAGTGATTTTGAGGATGTTTTTCTGTTGACTCTGAGCGTCACTTTTCTTTTCTTTTCTTTTCTGAGACAGAGTCTCACTTTGTTGCCCTTGATAGAGTGCTGTGGTGTCATAGTTCACAGTAACCTCCAACTCTTGGGATCAAGTGATTCTCTTCCCTCAGCCTCCCGAGTAGCTGGGAGTACAGGCACCCACTATGATGCCCCACTATTTTTACAGACAGGGTCTCACTCTGGCTCAGGCTGGTCTCAAACCTGTGAGCTAAGGCAATCCACCCACCTCAGCCTCCTAGAGTGCTGGGATTACAAGCATGAGTCACTGCAGCTGGACAGAGCTTCCCTTATTTCTGATGGAAAATCAAGTATCATTTGTATTATTATTTCTCTGTGTCAGGTGTCTCTTTTTCCAGGTTTTCTTTGTATCCTCAGCTATTTGAACGTGATGCATCTGGGTGTGACTTTTTGTATTTATTCTGTTTAGAGTCTCTAATCTTCTTGGATCTGTGATTTGATGTTTTTAATCAAATAGGGAAAAATTTTAGCCATAATATATATAAATGGATTTTTCTGCCTCCTCCTCTTTTCCTTTCCTCTTTGACTCCAATTACATGTACATTTGACTACATAATATCATCCCACAGTTATTGGGGTTCTATTCATTTTTATTATAATCTTTTTTCTATGTATATGTCAGTTTAGATAATTTCTGTTGACCTATCTTTTAGTTCACTGATCCTTTCTTCTAGATTGTCCAAATAATTCTTAATTCCATGTAATAAATGTATGAATTTGTATTGCAATTTTCAGAATCCCCAGTGTGGGGAAGCAGAGCTTAAGCCTGGCACCGTAGACCATCCAGCCATCCTGACACAGTAAGATATCGAATTTTCAGTTTTAGGATTTTCATTTGATTATTTTAAGAGTTTGATTAGCTCCCTACTTCCCACCTCATTGCTCATTATATATATATCAATAGAATCTTATCATTGTTATCGTAAAGCTTTTGTCTGCTGATACTCATATCTGCACCATATCTATGTCTATTGACTATTTTTTCTCTTGATTATGGGTCACATTTGCCTGCTTTATTCCATGTTTAACAGTTTTTTGTTGTATACCAAACATTGTGGTTATACATTGCAGAGACTATATATTCGGTTCTCTTTCTCTGAGAAGTGTTGAGTTTTCTTGTAGAAAAAGTTTGTGTTACTGGTGCATCACCTTTACCTCTGAAAGCTGGTTTTAGATTTTGTCATGACGTCTCTAATTTAGTTTTGCTTTCAGTTATATTTCAGTTATTTTTAGGAAATAACCCTTAGTTCTGGGACCTGGTCCTTAATCCTGAGGTGTATCTTGCCTGTGGTTTCAGTGGAAATACCAAAATGGTTTTCAAATCCCTCAAACTTGGTATGACTCAAATTCTAAACTCTGTCTCCCTGGCACCGGGCAGCTGTTTAACCCTCCGGTCAGTTCTTTGATCTCTCAGCCATTGTTTGGCTCCATGGAATCTTAACCCATCTGTGTCTGCAATTCAGAAGTTAGACAAGGACTTGAGAGCAGTCGATATGAGAATTAGGAATTCCCTCTTATGGTTCCCTCCTTTCTAGGATAGCTAGAGGCCCCAGACTCACCTCTGACTCATCTGGCCGTGCGGCCAGCTGCTGTCCACAAGTCCCACATCACACTCGCCATGTGGGCTGGGGGTGTCCTCAGAGGGAGAGTCAGACAAACATGGGTCTCATGCAGTGCGGTTCTCCTCCTTCAGATTGCATCCCTGCCCTTTCTGCCTGCTCGGCTGTTGTGCAGAACTTTGAGACAGCTGAGTGTGTTTTCAGAGGGTCCCACCAGAGTTTATAACTGTTATCGGCAGGACAGTAGATCAAATGTAAGTTTCTCCACCAGTAAGAGAAGCTGAGAGCAAGAGGGAAGACATGTGAGACAGTTCTGATCAGGGCCTGCAGCCTGGGTTTCACCGTCCTCCAGCCTGTGGGAACAGACAACTCTGACCCCTTTCGGCTGAGGTGGGAGCTAAGCCCCAGCACAGTGTCCTTGGGCTGTGGTGTAGGGTCCCCCAGAGAGCGTTTGTACTCTGTCAGCCACCGACCCCACTGGAGACCACCTCCATGTCCTCCCCACACAGCCTTTGGGGCCCCTCTGCTCCACTGCCCCACATTTCCTGGGAAAGTGTCTCTTTTGTTCCTGTCCTGGGTCTTCCCTCCTTAGGGCTCAGCTGAGCCACCCACCACCCTGAGGTGCTGGACACAATCTTCCTCTCCGTGGGCCCCAAGTGTGGCTCAAGGAGGGTGGCTCCAAAGCTTGCGGCTGGTGTGAAAGTGCAGCCTGAGCCTTCGTGCGGATGGAACAGGAGCCCAGAGCTGAGGCTTTGTCTGCAGAGTCAGAGGACAACCTTAGTCATGGTTCAAAGCCAGGAAGAACATGTGGTGGGAAACCCCAGAGTGCCCTGGACAGTGCGTCTGTGTCTGGAGCCAGGACTGGAGACATCAGGGTGGGCTCCCTGGACGAGGTGGCAGAGTAGATGTCCACAGTCCAAGGTGGGGGGGTGGGCAGAGAGCACTAAGAAGTGCTTTTTACAGCTAATCTCCAGGATCAAGAAGCAGTTGGTAGTGGCTAAGGGAATGGTGTTAGGGGCTGCAGGTGGAGGACGGGTACAGCGTGTCTGATGCCTGGAGCATGTTGGGACTGGCAGTGCTGTGGATTGCGTGTCTGAGGACGCTCCGTGCTAACGTGGGCCTCCGCCCGTGTCCTTCTTCCAGACGCTGGGCGCTGCAGACTGGGAGGTCTTCCACATTGGGGAGCGGATCTTCCTTGCTGTTGCCAACAGCCACAGCTATGACGCGGCGGTGCAAGTGCAGAGCGACTCCTACGTCCTCAACTCCGTCATCTATGAGCTGAACGTGACCGCACAGACCTTTGTCAAGTTCCAGGACATCCCCACCTGCAGGT